CGATGATAGAGTTAGGCACCGGATGTTTATTAAGAAACTTGTTTAAGTGCCGGCTTGGTTAAATTTTTACAAGCAGGACACGAATGGGTAGGATGTTCCTCATCCAAACAAAAAAGGCACTGATTATGACCATCTCAAAGTGTGATTTTATTTGCACAGGTCGTACACCTTTTAAAAGGAGACGGTGAGGTCATAAGCAAAGAACTGGGGGGGAGGGGAAAGGGAAGGGAGTAAAAAGACCACGGGAAGCCAATTAGGCAAACAAAAGACATGGAGGATCACTAAGTAGGTAATTTAAAGTAAAGATAAACAAAAGCTCAAAGGAGCCTAGAAAAATAGCCAAAAGGCAAATAGCGAAGCGCTCAATGTTTCCTGAGGACCGTTCAGCTCAGTGGAAAAAAGGAACTGGGGAAGATGGTGGGTGGGAGGAGCATATACCTCGTGGAGGATCACACCATAAAATTGTTACTTTTCGCTCTAGAATCTTCCAAGAGAGTCAGCGCAGGCGCAGACAATACCCATATGTGTGCATTCACAGAGGCCACGAAAAAGAACCTGCAGTTTCAGCTTACTTTTTACCATACCACTAACAAATAAGCTTGGATCCTAAGTAAGTCTCCTTCTGTGCATCAAAGGAATTATCATCCAGTAAAATCTCTTTGTAGGAGGAAGTGGGAAGCAATCTTCACCAATCTCCCATGCAGACTCATTTTTACCTCCTATGTTGCTGAGGGTACACAAAGGTCAACAGAGAGAATTACTTTGTTGCTTACTGGCAACAGCATCCTGTTAGCAGGGTGTCTCTCATAAGAACTTTGCAATCGAAATAGTGAAGAATTCCTTCCACCCCACAGACTAAATGATCTTCCCCAGAATGGGGGAGCTGTAAGCCAGCACATTAGGAAGAAACATTAGGGGAAGTCTACTTTATAAGGTGATAAAAACAGAAAACAGTAAGTCCAAGTGTTTTATTACACTATGAATAAACTCTGAAACAAAATAACAGGATTGTTTAATCTTCACCTGTTTCAATTTGTCTACAGAATGCATCAGCAGTCAAGTGTGAACAACTGACTCACAGAGTTTCACACTACAAAATTGTTTCAAATTTTACTTGGCAAACGTATTGCACCTTAAATTGAAACTATTTTGCTGTAACTATAAAAGTAATTTGAGAGCCATTGTGGTGTAGCAGAGTGGCTGACTAGGACCCAGGAGACATGGGTTCAAATCACCATTCAGCAGGAAAACACTGGGAGGATGGCTACAGTAAAACATTCCTTAAATACTGGTATCTAACATGCCTTGAAAACCGTAAGGATCACTGTAAGTTGGATATGACTTAACAGCACATAACAAAACATAAAAGTAATTTAGAAACGAGCAGCTTTCTAAACAGGTTACTTGCTGAGTACTTCCCAGCAATGTTCAAATCATTTCAACATCACTCTTCAATCAGTAATCATCAAACATCTTGCTTACATTTCCTATATTTCTTTTTTAGTTATAAAAATATTGCACTATAAAATGCATTGTATGAACCAGCATTGTATGAACCAGCTATTAATCCATTTGATTGATAACTGAGCACTTGATGTACCACAAAATAAGAGTCCTGGTCATGTCAGAATCAATCCAGTAGAAAAGCTTGAACTAATGCCTTAGGTTTCTGAAGCTTTAAACTCAAATACATATTACAAAGGACAGACCTAGGTGAAATGCAGGTTGGTTTTCACTAGTCTCTCAAGTCATTTTGCAGACAGCCATAGGTTTCTTATTCCTCTTGTTCAAAACCAGCAATAACAAATATGGGTTTTCACCACTTAAATACTGAAACTTTTTTAAAAGTGGAGGTAACCAGGTATGGACTTCTGTGTGAAAAGTCTGTGAATTTATTTCTGTTCTCACAGAGAAAAAGTTGGGTTACTTACCTGTAACCATTCTGTTCTCACAGAGAAAACAATTTTTGAGGCTCTGAGGCAGCATGCTCTTTGTCCCTAAGAGTGTGTTTTTTGCTCTCTACTCTGCTTGATGAAAGGACAGGTTACTTACCTATAAAAGTAATTATTCAAGTACTTATCTGTGGATTCATACATCGGGTCTTATACTGCACCTGCACAGACATCAGAAACTTATAGAGCCTAGTGACACCACAAAGCTCTACCTCTACATTCAGTATACATCCTCTATAGCAATCCTCCCTCAGTTCCCCTCCACCAGCTGCTGAATAGATGAAAGAGTATGACAGAGAGGAGATGGGGGGAATGTGTTAAATCGCAGATGGCCACTCAAAGAACTATAGTTACATGTAAGTAACTTGTCTTTTATCATTGTGGTTTCTGTACACCATATATTGGGTGACAAACAAGATCACTTATCAGTTGGGGGTGGGATGGGATTATGAATGAGGAAAGAAGAGCAAGAAATGGTGGAGGAGGACTGTTGGGCCAATGCTGTGGACTGGGAGGCATGCAAGACTCAGGAGATCGACCACCAAATGACTTGCCAGTTCAAGCATCACTGTAAGTATTTTGTGGTTTGAGTCCTTCATTAGATTGAAAGAAGCTCGGAACTATACAGTGGTGCCCCGCATAGCGACATTAATCCATTCCAGGGAAAACATTGCTATCCGGATTCCTCGCTATGCGGGGCAAAAAACCCCATAGGAACCCATTAAAACACATTTAATGCGTTCCTATGGGGAAAAAACTCACATTTAAGCGAAAATCCTCCATCCGGCCGCCATTTTCGGTGCCCAGTAAGCGAGGCAACACAGTGGGTGGCCATTTTGGAACAGCCGATCAGCTGTGCAAAAATTGGGCCTTCAGGATGATCCCGGGGGAGCGCTTCCCCGTGATCATCCCAAAGGCTCCGCTGATCAGCTGTGCTTCAGCGCTGGCTCTCTCTCCCTTCGAGAGAGAGCCAGCACCGAAACACAGCTCATCGGCGGGGGTTTGCAAAGATCACGGGGAAGCCAGTTTCGCCAACCCACCCTCCAGCCTGGGCAGGGAGACGGCCAGGGTGGCGGCGCGGTGCCTCACTCTCCCTGCCCAGGCTGGAGCTGCGAGGGAAGAGATAGCCAGTGCCGAAGCACAGCTCATCGGCAGGGGTTTGCAAAGATCACGGGGAAGCCAGTTTCGCCAACCCACCCTCCAGCCTGGGCAGGGAGACGGCCAGGGTGGCGGCGCGGTGCCTCACTCTCCCTGCCCAGGCTGGAGCTGCGAGGGAAGAGATAGCCAGTGCCGAAGCACAGCTCATCGGCAGGGGTTTGCAAAGATCACGGGGAAGCCAGTTTCGCCAACCCACCCTCCAGCCTGGGCAGGGAGACGGCCAGGGTGGCGGCGCGGTGCCTCACTCTCCCTGCCCAGGCTGGAGCTGCGAGGGAAGAGATAGCCAGTGCCGAAGCACAGCTCATCGGCAGGGGTTTGCAAAGATCACGGGGAAGCCAGTTTCGCCAACCCACCCTCCAGCCTGGGCAGGGAGACGGCCAGGGTGGCGGCGCGGTGCCTCACTCTCCCTGCCCAGGCTGGAGCTGCGAGGGAAGAGATAGCCAGTGCCGAAGCACAGCTCATCGGCAGGGGTTTGCAAAGATCACGGGGAAGCCAGTTTCGCCAACCCACCCTCCAGCCTGGGCAGGGAGACGGCCAGGGTGGCGGCGCGGTGCCTCACTCTCCCTGCCCAGGCTGGAGCTGCAAGGGGTGTAGAGAGAAGGAGAGAGAGAGCGCACCGAAGCACAGCTGATCGGTGGGGGGTTTGCAAAGCTGGCTTCCCCGCGATATTCACAAACCCCCGCCAATAAGCTGTGCTTCAGGGCTCGCTCTCTCCACCCCTCACAACACAGCTGATCGGCAGGGCCTTTGGGATGATCGTGGGGAAGCGCTTCCCCACAATCATCGCAAAGCGATTTTCCCCCATTTAAAACATCACAAAAACTCAATCGCTATGCGGATTCATCATTAAACAGGGCGCTCGTTACGCGAGGGACCACTGTACTTGCAATGAACACATTTTGAACCAGGCATGAGAGACAACAGCTGTTGTGGAGAGCATGAAGCCCAGAAGATTCTGTGCCCTAAAGACTGTTACTCTGGTATGAGATCAAAATTTTAAGAGAGTGCCACAATGCTTTGTACTCTGGAAAATACACCCTGGCTGCTCTGGAGCCAAGCATTGCCTTGCTATAATGAGGCAATATCATTGATTTTTATCCACCCTATTTAATGTCCAACTACAGGGCTTGATTATTGTGCTTGAAGGGTTGGGATGATACTTGTCCTACTTTACTCAAAGATCTTCTCCCTCACAATGCTGCCTCAACCAATGGTAAAGAGGGAACTGCAGGAAGATCACTGTGGAGCATGCCTGACAAGTGGAGAACATGGGATTATTTTGGTGTTGCTGGGCTCTAGAAGTAGCTGAGGTGTTTGCACAGGCACAGTAAAAGTCCCAAGATGTGATTCACAGAGACCATGATGACAAATTTACAGATATGATTAGCCTTGCTACCTAGTCATAGGACACAATAAGGGGAGTGCAACTGATCTACATACCTTACTTGAAACAAAGCAACATTATGTAAGACCTGTTTCCAGGCAATCAGAGAAAATTTTTATGTCTAAAAGACAAATTGATACACATAAGTTAACAGGCACAGAACCTAGAACAACATATGGGCTGAAATCCTGTTGCTTAATGTAGTAAATCACAGATTGAATTAGTGGGGATTGGTGAGTCAGCTTCTCCGTTAAGTTCCGTTGGTTCAATGGGCGTATTGTAGTTGTGACTTACTAAGATAACAAACAAGATTTTGGTGGTGGAGTCATTAGCTTACAAAAACTATACTGTTCATATTCGTTCCTAAGTACTTTATAGATGAAAGACTACTTATTGTAAATGCAATTAAGCACTAACTATTAATTACTGAATAGTTAGTGCAAGATCATTAGCAGGCTTCCAATTATGCAAGTTTGGTTAAAAATCTGCCTGTCCATTTACCATACCTGAACCATGGACTCTGAAAGCTGGGCTTCATCTATTTCCAGTATCATCCTTTTTATTTCTTCATAAGACACCCGAAAAGAACCAAGGTAGATAGCTAAAGGAAAAAGCATATACACACAAATGGGAGCTGACTAAAGAATATACCATTGATTCTTAAAATAAATCTTAGTTTAATGTCAGTGTGGATTTGATTTAAACTAAACTGATTTAAATTAAATTGATTTAAATCATGATTTAAATGAAAAAATCAGATATTTCAATTTAATTTAAAAATAATTTTTAATTTAAATCAATTTGATTTTTAAAAAAATATAATTGATTTTTATCTACCCTATTTAATGTCCAACTGCAGGGCTTGATTTAGTTACATTCAAAAGTTGTGTCACACCAAAAATTTAAACAGGATTCAGGACTTCAGTGAAGAAAAGATGAAGAAAGAGGAGAGTAATGAATTTGGCAGGAAGCAGATAAAGAAGTTCATACCAGATCTTATCTGTATGTGGATCTGAGGAACGTGTGAACTCCTAATGTACTCTACAGTTTCACACTGATTCTTTCTTTCTATAACATCAAGAGGTGCCAAGCAAACCTAGAAGCGCAAAAAGCCTATCATGGGAGTCAGCTAAGGATGCTTCTTAATGGAGGACAATGATTCAAATTATATACTGTAGAAACAAAGAGAAATATTAGAAGAAAAATACATCTAGGTGACATGGCAGGGTAAGTAACAAAATGCAAGATGGAGAACAAAGCAAGATGATTTGCTAAATTCTCCTTGAAGATAGCAAGTACCATACAAAAATAAATAAAGTCTTCTCAAATACAGAAATACAACATTAAAAATAACCATCCATATATGTACAGTCTACTGATAGGCATATTTTCGATTTAAAAATAAAATAAAACTGCTTTTAACTTTTAAAGAAAAAAATTTCAAGATATTTCCATAATGTTAAGGTTTGGTTTTGTAACATCTGAAATAATGAATTGTACTTTCACTTGCACACAAGTTTAAGCTTCTGCTATTATGGGATGTTGCTCTTACATAATGAAAACTGCATTCTGAAAGTAGTATCTTGACATCTAGAACACAACATTGATAGTAGTAAAAATGTTTGACTTATTCAATTAGGCAGAAGCCTCGTAAAAGCAGGCTATTGTTCTCACTCGCAACAGGCCGTTAGAAAGACTTATTCAGAAGAGAGATTATCCAGCCTCGTAAAAGCAGGCCCGACCCCCTCCCCCTTTCTTTCTTCGCAGCTCAAGGACTAATGCTTCTTGAGAATCAACATGCTTACAGTAGATAAGAATGGAATGCAGAGGTTAACAAAAGACAAAAGACGATTTAGGGAAAGTGATAATTGTTCTGCGCATGTTTAAAAAGTGTTTTCACTAATCCAATGAATTATTGCTAACTAACTTAATGACCTTTTAAGGAGATTGTGAGCCCACCCCAATC